CCCTCTCTTTTCCTAATCCTTTTCCTCGCATTCCGTCTCTCTCTTTCAAGTAGACCCACTTAAAAGAGGATAAATATCCGACCACCCGAATTCCTTTTCATAATTGAAACAGTTTTCTAATTCTTTTGTCACCCTGCCCCTAGCTTTTCGCCCCCTTACTTTTTCTCTCACGTTTTGCCTCATTTACTCCTCTCCATCCTGTCATCAACAACTCTTGTCCACATAAACATCATTCCGCACTTGTTACCTCTCATCCCCACACACCCTTTCTCTCTGAAAAAGCAACAAACAAAAAAAAACCTATCCAGAAAACCCCCAAATCCTAATCCTGCCCCCACCTCACGGCTACCCATCTGCTTCTCTCTTCCTTAACATGCGCCACCACCCCCTACCCGCCTCCCCCTTTCGTTATACATGTATTCGTTCCGATTCTTATGGTGGACCACCCGTGCTCTCAAGGATGCCAGAGAAAAATTAATTCCCTCAAAGATCTTCCTTGCTGATTGCAGGGACGAACCGACCGACGCTGTATTTGGGGGTCATAGTTCAAAGTTCGCGGGGTGGGAGCATTAGAACGCCTTCTTTAGCGTTTTAATAATAATAATAATAATAATAATAATAATAATAATAATAATAATAATAATAAAAATAATAATAAATGACATTTATATAGCGCTCAACCCCGAATAAAGTACACAGGCTCGGAGATCTTTACAATACAGTGCAACATACAACAGTAACATGAAACGTTGTGTTCTGACTAAAGAAAAGTATTCCAAATATTCATCTTATTAATTTAAAAACAGAAACGACTTCAGCTGACATTTGAAGGAATCAAAAGATTTGATTTCTCTCAACGTACTTGGTAAAGCATTCCAAATCTTGGGGCCTTGGTATTCAAATGCCCTTTCACCCATTGTTTTAAGTTTCATAGATGGTGAAATAAATTTCTTTTTGTCAGCTGAGGACCTTAAACTGCGAGTTGGAATGTAGCCTACAGTCTTAACAGATTTGATAAATATGATGTTACATTATCATTCAAACATGTGTGACATATGGTGGCCAACTTGTACACAATCCTTTTCTCAACAGGAAGCCAATGCAAAGTTCGTAAAAGAGGTTTAGCAGAGTCTCGCTTTCTTTTCCGTAAAACTAAACGTGCTGCATTGTTTTGGACAGTTTGAAGTCTTTTAACTTTCTCCGGTGATATTCCTGATAACACGGAGTTACAATAATCGAGTTTTGATCAAATTAAGCTAGTTACTAGTAAAGCAGTATACTTGGTATTGATCAGATGACGTATTTTACTAATTTTTCTTATTTCTAAATACATGCAGCTGATCAGATGATTTACCTCAGCCGACATTGACAAACTTGAATCAAAATAGATGCCAAGATTCTTAACTTTTCTTGAAAATAAAATTTTTGCATCACCAATTGTAATGTGATGATGGTCAACCTCTTCAACAGAATTTTCTCTCCAGATATACAATAACTTGTACACTATTTCTTCTCTTTCTCTTTTTACGTTTCCCTTATGACTCCCAGTCACCGCCTATCTGTCCTTGTGTATGTCTATTCATCTGTGTGTCTCCCTTTGTGCCCACCATTCTCAACCAGTCTTCATCTCACACCCCCTCCCCAACTACATGTACTCTCTCTCTCTCTCTCTCTCTCTCTCTCTCTCTCTCTCTCTCTCTCTCTCTCTCTCTCCTTCTCTCTCTCTCCCCCCCCCCTCTCTCTCTCTCTCTCTCTCTATCTATCTATCTATCTATCTATCTATCTATCTATCTATCTCTCTCTCTCTCTCTCCCTCTCTCTCTCTCTCCTTCTCTCTCTCCCCCCCTCTCTCTCTCTATCTCTCTCTCTCTCTCTCTCTAACTTATTTCTACACCACCCTTCCATTCCTTAGAGAGCGCCATTGGATTAGTTTCTATAAGGCCGGACTTTGCAGATGCGTTTCGGAATTGAAGACATTAGTTATAATTAAAGTTCGCCTTCTCTAATCCTTTTTTCAATTTTCTATTATTATTGTCATAGGTGGATGTCAAATCGGAGTCGGGCCTCTTGGATAACATTAAGGTCTTTTACTGGGCACCAATCAATAAATCAAAATTCGCACGAAACATGATATCTTTCTTACTTTCTAACAACCTCTCTAAGACGGAGTTTATGTCCTCAGTCTTTCCATTTCTTCATTTATCTGTCTCTGAGAGAGAGAGAGAGAGAGAGAGAGAGAGAGAGAGAGAGAGGGGGGGGGCAGACAGACAGACAGACAGACAGACAGACAGACAGACAGACAGACAGACAGAAAGAGAGAGAGAGAGAGAGACAGAGACAGAGAGAGACAGAGACAGAGAGAGACACACACACATAGAGAGAGAGAGAGAGAGAGAGAGAGAGAGAGAGAGAGAGAGAGAGAGAGAGCAACAGAAAGTGAGAAGATCCTGCCACCCTCCAACCGTCCACTAGCCTTTTTCTTGTTATTTATCATTTGTATAAACATAGGACCAAAGCCTGTTTTTCTTAACAGAAATTCCATCAGGAAGCAAAACCAAATCTCTCTATCGGCCCGGGAGAGATATCTACCTTATGACGCTTAGACAGAGAAGGGCGTTGTCATGGAAAGAGACATTTCGCGTATGCAATCTGTGGGTCTGATCCATCACTCTTGGAATGCGGTGAAAAGAAATTTTGAAGCTCGACTTGCAAAGGAATTATTAATCTTCGCCCTGATTATGTTCGCTTTTGTTTTTGTTTTGTTTTGGGTTTCCTTCTTATGGTTGGGGGAAAAGGGGGGGGGGGGTCGAGGTCATAGCAGTTGAAGAGCGTTTTACAGTTGATGACTGTTTAGCTGAGTGATTACTTGAAGGTGATTTGACGAACAGCACGATAACACTTTTGTGAGTTAATTGCTTCTTATGTATTTGATCTGATCGTCAGTATATTGTTTATCGTAATATAAACTTTACTGACAATTTGACCCCCCCAAAAAAC